ACCCTGTGTCACAGTGGTGCCTGCTAATCCTGTCACAGTTGTGCACACCAACCATGTCACAATGGTGCACACCAACACTATGTCACAGCAGTGCACACCAACCCAATGACACAGTGGTGCACACCAAGTCAATGTCACAGTTGTGCACACAACCCTGCATCACAGTGGTGCACACCAACCCTGTCACAGTGGTGCACACCAACCCTGTTTCACAGTGGTGCACACCCACACTGTCAAAGTTGTGCACACCAACCTTGTGTCACAGTGGTGCACACCAACCCTGTGTCACAGTAGTGTACACCAGCCCTGTGTCACAGTGTACACCAGCCCTGTGTCATAGTGGTGCACACCAGCCCTGTGTCATAGTGGTAAACACCAGCCCTATGTCACAGTGGTGCACACCACCCATCACAGTGGTGCACACCAATCCTATGTCACAATGGTGCACACCAACCCTGTGTCAGAGTGATGCACAGCATCCCTGTCACAATGGTGCACACCAACCCTGTGTCACAATGGTTCACACTAACCCTGTGTCACAGTGGTGCACACCAACCCTGTGTCACAGTGGTGCACACCACCAATCACAGTGGTGCACACCAACCCTGTGTCACAATGGTGCACACCAACCCTGTGTCACAATGGTGTACACCAACCCTGTGTCAGAGTGATGCACAGCATCCCTGTCACAATGGTGCACACCAACCCTGTGTCACAATGGTTCAAATATTATGCACAAAATTTGGAGTGTGGAAATTAGGAGAAGGTGTGGAGTTAATAAAAGTATTAGTCAGAGGGCAGAAGAGGGGTTGTTGAGGTGGTTTGGTTATTTAGAGAGAATGGATCAAAGTAGAATGACATGGAAAGCATATAAATCTGTAGGGGAAGGAAGGAGGGGTAGGAGTCGTCCTCGAAAGGGTTGGAAAGAGGGGGTAAAGGAGGTTTTGTGGGCGAGGGGCTTGGACTTCCAGCAAGCATGCATGAGCGTGTTAGATAGGAGTGAATGGAGACGAATGATACTTGGGACCTGACGATCTGTTGGAGTGGGGAGCGGGGGTAATATTTAGTGAAGGGATTCAGGGAAACCGGTTATTTTCATATAGTCGGACTTGAGTCCTGGAAATGGGAAGTACAATGCCTGCACTTTAAAGGAGGGGTTTGGGATATTAGCAGTTTGGAGGGGTATGTTGTGTATCTTTATACGTATATGCTTCTAAACTGTTGTATTCTGAGCACCTCTGCAAAAACAGTGATAATGTGTGAGTGTGGTGAAAGTGTTGAATGATGATGAAAGTATTTTCTTTTCGGGGATTTTCTTTCTTTTTTGGGTCACCCTGCCTCGGTGGGAGACGGCCGACTTGTTGAAAAAAAAATATTATTTTATTTTTTTTTTTATTATCACACTGGCCGATTCCCACCAAGGCAGGGTGGCCCGAAAAAGAAAAACTTTCACCATCATTCACTCCATCACTATCTTGCCAGAAGGGTGCTTTACACTACAGTTTTTAAACTGCAAGATTAACACCCCTCCTTCAGAGTGCAGGCACTGTACTTCCCATCTCCAGGACTCAAGTCCGGCCTGCCAGTTTCCCTGAATCCCTTCATAAATGTTACTTTGCTCACACTCCAACAGCACGTCAAGTATTAAAAACCATTTGTCTCCATTCACTCCTATCAAACACGCTCACGCTTGCCTGCTGGAAGTCCAAGCCCCTCGCACACAAAAACCTCCTTTACCCCCTCCCTCCAAAACCCCTTTCCTAGGCCGACCCCTACCCCGCCTTCCTTCCACTACAGACTGATACACTCTTGAAGTCATTCTGTTTCGCTCCATTCTCTCTACATGTCCGAACCACCTCAACAACCCTTCCTCAGCCCTCTGGACAACAGTTTTGGTAATCCCGCACCTCCTCCTAACTTCCAAACTACGAATTCTCTGCATTATATTCACACCACACATTGCCCTCAGACATGACATCTCCACTGCTTCCAGCCTTCTCCTCGCTGCAACATTCATCACCCACGCTTCGCACCCATATAAGAGCGTTGGTAAAACTATACTCTCATACATTCCCCTCTTTGCCTCCAAGGACAAAGTTCTTTGTCTCCACAGACTCCTAAGTGCACCACTCACTCTTTTTTCCCTCATCAATTCTATGATTCACCTCATCTTTCATAGACCCATCCGCTGACACGTCCACTCCCAAATATCTGAATACGTTCACCTCCTCCATACTCTCTCCCTCCAATCTGATATTCAATCTTTCATCACCTAATCTTTTTGTTATCCTCATAACCTTACTCTTTCCTGTATTCACCTTTAATTTTCTTCTTTTGCACACCCTGCCAAATTCATCCACCAATCTCTGCAGCTTCTCTTCAGAATCTCCCAAGAGCACAGTGTCATCAGCAAAGAGCAGCTGTGACAACTCCCACTTTGTGTGTGATTCTTTATCTTTTAACTCCACGCCTCTTGCCAAGACCCTCGCATTTACTTCTCTTACAACCCCATTTATAAATATATTAAACAACCACGGTGACATCACACATCTTTGTCTAAGGCCTACTTTTACTGGAAAAAAATTTCCCTCTTTCCTACATACTCTAACTTGAGCCTCACTATCCTCGTAAAAACTCTTCACTGCTTTCAGTAACCTACCTCCTACACCATACACTTGCAACATCTGCCACATTGCCCCCCTATCCACCCTGTCATACCCCTTTTCCAAATCCATAAATGCCACAAAGACCTCTTTAGCCTTATCTAAATACTGTTCACTTATATGTTTCACTGTAAACACCTGGTCCACACACCCCCTACCTTTCCTAAAGCCTCCTTGTTCATCTGCTATCCTATTCTCCGTCTTACTCTTAATTCTTTCAATTATAACTCTACCATACACTTTACCAGGTACACTCAACAGACTTATCCCCCTATAATTTTTGCACTCTCTTTTATCCCCTTTGCCTTTATACAAGGGAACTATGCATGCTCTCTGCCAATCCCTAGGTACCTTACCCTCTTCCATACATTTATTAAATAATTGCACCAACCACTCCAAAACTATATCCCCACCTGCTTTTAACATTTCTATCTTTATCCCATCAATCCCGGCTGCCTTACCCCCTTTCATTTTACCTACTGCCTCACGAACTTCCCCCACACTCACAACTGGCTCTTCCTCACTCCTACAAGATATATATATATATATATATATATAAATATATAATATATATATATATATATATATATATATATATATATATATATATATATATATATATACGTGTATATATATATACATGCATATACATGGTATATTGGCAGTTTGGAGAGACATGTAAACTGTCATATCTGAGCGCCTCTGCCAAGACAGTCATTACATGTGAGTGACGGTGAAAGTGTTCCTTGTTTGGGTCACAGCTTATGTGCTAAAATAAATAGTACTAATTTTTTTTTTTCCAACAAATCGGCCGTCTCCCACCGAGGCAGGGTGACCCAAAAAAGAAAGAAAATCCCCTGAAAGAAAATACTTTCATCATCATTCAACACTTTCACCTCACTCACACATAATCACTGTTTTTGCAGAGGTGCTCAGAACACAACAGTTTAGAAGCATATACGTATAAAGATACACAACATATCCCTCCAAACTGCTAATATCCCGAAACCCCTCCTTTAGAGTGCAGGCATTGTTTTTCCCATTTCCAGGACTCAAATCCGGCTATATAAAAATAACCGGTTTCCCTGAATCCCTTCACTAAATATTTCCCTGCACACACTCCAACAGATCGTCAGGTCCCAAATACCATTCATCTCCATTCACTCCTATCGAACACGCTAATGCACGCCTGCTGGAAGTCCAAGCCCCTTGCCCATAAAACCTCCCATACCCCTTCCTTCCAACCTTTTCGAGGACGACACCTACCCCGTCTTCCTTCTCCTACTGATTTAAATGCTCTCCATGTCATTCTACTTTGATCCATTCTCTCTAAATGACCAAACCATCTCAACAACCCCTCTTCAGCCCTCTCACTAATACTTTTATTAACTCCACACCTTCTCCAAATTTCCACCCTCCGAATTTTCTGCATAATATTTACACCACACATTGCCCTTAGACAGGACATCTCCACTGTCTCCAACCGTCTCGTTGCTGCTGCATTCACAACCCAAGCTTCACACCCATATAAGAATGTTGGTATTTGTGGCATGCAAAGAGTACGTAACCTTTATTCGGCGCAAGTACACACCCTCATTTACAGGCTATCTCCCCCAACCAGCGAACCAGGTTGCTAAGAGTTGATGATGGGGCCCCGTCTTTCATCTAGTGACCAGGTTCTAGCCAATAAGAAGATGGTTTTGGCAATCGCAGAGGTTATGTGGGTACCACTCTCCTGTCTGCCCTTGTCATTTCCATTCTAGAGCTGGTTGAAGCACGGTCTGCTATCTTTTGGCTTCTATTTCTGCCTTGCTTACCGTGGACTGCACTATACTTATCACTGTACATAGTGTACAAATTGCTGTTCTAAATTGGTGAAGGATAATATAAGTCTAAACTTTTTCTGCTGTGTTTATTTTGCTCCCATTACACCCGGGATAACAGGCCATTTGGAATCCTGGGTTGTAATAGTACTACTATACTTTCATACATTCCTTTCTTTGCCTCCATAGATAACGTTTTTTGACACCACATATACTTCAATGCACCACTCACCTTTTTTCCCTCATCAGTTCTATGATTAACCTCATCCTTCATAAATCCATCCGCCAACACGTCAACTCCCAAGTATCTGAAAACATTCCCTTCTTCCATACTCCTCCTTCCCAATTTGATATACAATTTTTCTTTATCTAAATCATTTGATACCCTCATCACATTACTCTTTTCTATGTTCACTTTCAACTTTCTACCTTTACACACACTCTACTAATAAACCATACCCCCGGGCAGGTAATAGGTTGTATTACTAAATGGTATAACCACACTGGAACTGACCTGTTAATATCATCATCAGGGCATTTTGCAGCATATTCTGGATGGTTGTAGTAGTATACAGCCTTCATATGCATGAGGAAGTTGTACAGTTTTCGGCCACGTACCTGGGAATATACACACTCTCATACTCTCTCTAGTCATATCCAGGAATTGTAATTAGCTTACACATAAAATTGCAAAAGCCTGCAGTTCATGTAGGCTTATGAGGCTGCTCTTATTGCTACCAGGCGTCGTAAGAATCAGCTTCGCTTCCTACGTGACTGTCTTGCTGAACAAGTTCTGCCCCCTTCCTTCTCCCACTTCCTGAAAACCAACCCACTGGGCACTCCCTTTCCTGACCATGCCCGTCTCCTACTTCAACAGCTCATTCTTTCTACTAAATCACAGGTTAAAGATGCCTTCTTTACTTTCCGTCAACGTCACCGTGCTCTCTTTGCGGCTCTACCACAGGATCTCTGTAACCTTCTCTCAAACCATTGCCTTTGACACTGCTCGCCTGAATGCACAAATTCATTCTTCCAAACTACAAAATAAACTTCAACGTCTCATCTCAGCTAGCCCTTGGTCTAAATTCTCCCTCACTGACTGTGTTACTAATCTGTCTTCTGTCTCACTCTCTCAGTATGAGCTTGAACTTCTAGGTTTTGGTCTTTCCTTTGCCACTTCGCCTACTCCTCGCGCTGGTATTTCCCTGATTAGCTCTTTTGATTCCTTTTGTCAATCTCGCTTCCGTAATCTTCCTGACTTGTCCACTTTTCGTGGTGCTCTCCTTCCTGCTCTTGTTAGTCTGTTTTCCAAGAATCACCACCTTCCACGCCGTTAGAGTCCACACAGAGGCGGATCAGATCAAGAAAGACATCAGTGGGGATAGGGAGATGAAGAAACCCTTCATGGGCCTTCTCTCTAAGGAAATCAAGGACATCATCAAGAGGGACATTGGTGAAGAGGGACTCAACGTCAAGACTAAGCATCTTACAGGTTGGGAGAGAGTGAACCCGTTCAATGAAGTCTTGAGAGTGACGGAGGTGGGCAGGAGAAAAAGTACCAAGAAAGGGAGTGAGGGTTTTGGCCAGCCATGAAGCAAGAGAATAAGAGACAGAACCTCTAGAGGATATGATAGGACGAAGAGGAATATCAGGTTTATGAGTTTTGGGAAGGCCATAGAAATAGGGAAGAGAGGGACAGATGACACGAAACCGTTGAACAAGGTCAAAGTCAGGAGGACAGAGGTCGGAGAGAGTCCTTAGTTTTTTGTGGAAAGTTCTCTTGATGCGATCAAGAGGGTTGGAAACGAGAGGAGTGTAGGTGCGTGAGTCAGAGAGCAAGACATCAGCTTTATGGAGGTAATCCTCACGATCAAGGATAACTACCGAATTACCTTTGTCAGAAGAAAGTAAGACAATGTTAGTGTTGGATTTAAGAGAAGAAAGGGCAAGTTGGTAACGGCGTGGAAGGTGGTGATTCTTGGAAAACAGACTAACAAGAGCAGGAAGGAGAGCACCACGAAAAGTGGACAAGTCAGGAAGATTACGGAAGCGAGATTGACGAAAGGAATCAAAAGAGCTAATCAGGGAAATACCAGCGCGAGGAGTAGGCGAAGTGGCAAAGGAAAGACCAAAACCAAGAAGTTCAAGCTCATATTGAGAGAGTGAGACAGAAGACAGATTAGTAACACAGTCAGTGAGGGAGAATTTAGACCAAGGGCTAGCTGAGATGAGACGTTGAAGTTTATTTTGTAGTTTGGAAGAATGAATTTGTGCATTCAGGCGAGCAGTGTCAAAGGCAATGGTAGAGAGAAGGTTACAGAGATCCTGTGGTAGAGCCACAAAGAGAGCACGTTGACGTTGACGGAAAGTAAAGAAGGCATCTTCAACCTGTGATTTAGTAGAAAGAATGAGCTGTTGAAGTACGAGACGGGCATGGTCAGGAAAGGGAGTGCCCAGTGGGTTGGTTTTCAGGAAGTGGGAGAAGGAAGGGGGCAGAACTTGTTCAGCAAGACAGTCACGTAGGAAGCAAAGCTGATTCTTACGATGCCTGGTAGCAATAAGAGCAGCCTCATAAGATCGAAAGAGGGGTTTAAAAGAGGGAAGAACATTAAAAAAGTTGGAGAGAATATGACGCTTAACTGCGGGGTCCATAAATAACAAAAAGGCACAATACCGTGACTGGAACGATACACAAATAACCCGCACATAAAAGAGAGAAGCTTACGACGACGTTTCGGTCCGACTTGGACCATTGACAAAGTCACACTAACAGAGGTGGAGCAGGATGGCTATACATAGGCAGGAAGAGGTGGAGGTATAGTAGTAGTAGTAGTAATAGTAGTTAGAGTAGGTTAGTAGTAGTATTAGTAGTAGTAGTAGTAGTAGTAGTAATTAGTTACAAGAATTGTATATATACCGACAAGATGAAAAAATAGACACATGACAACACCCAGGGCATCCCAATCGTAGACTTTCGCCATTCCAAACAGCCACTGGATGGCGCGAACGTAAAAACCCGGCGGGCGGGGAAATAACGTCCACAACAAAGACAACCAGAACCTGCAGCATGTGTCTTAATTTCATCAGTAGTTGTAGTAGTAGTAGAAAAGAAGGAGGTAGTAGTAGTGGAAGTGGTAAATAGGGAAGATAAGGATGACGGCCGCAAAAACAAAACATAAGGAAGGGAGCTCTGCAAGTGAGCTAGATGGCCCAAGAGGGAGAGCAAGCGCACAGAGGTGCGTGAAAGGGGAAGTGGGTGAATAAAATAAAATAAAAGAAGAAGGAACAGAAATACGAGACAGGAGACAAAAGACAACCTAGAGGAGAAAAGGAAAGAGGAAAGGGGAAAGGAAGAAGAAAAAGAAAGAAAAAATGAGATTCAGGTTAAGTCACGGGTGTTCGTGAAGTTTGGAAGCATTTTACAATGTAGTGGGAGAGGAAGGCATCAACAGAGACGAAGCCCGGTCTAAGGTTCATACAGGGAAAGTTGTGTATTAGAGAGGATTCAACTAGACGCGACTGTTCGAGTTGGAAGTAGGGAAGACAGTTTTAGCAGAAGACCAGTCAATAGGATGGCTATGATCTCTGACGTGACAGAAAAGAGCATTGTTGGTGTCGGCAAGCCTAACACTATTTTTGTGCTCCCAAAGTCTTTCAGAAAGAGATCGACCAGTTTCTCCGAAGTATTGAAGAGGACAGGAGGAGCAAGAAATAGAGTAGACACCAGGAACATCTGTAGAGGGAGGAGAGGTATGAACGAGATTAGTGCGAAGAGTGTTAGTCTGGCGGAAGGTAAGCTTGATGTCTAAGGGACGGAGAGAATTACGTCGTCGTAAGCTTCTCTCTTTTATGTGCGGGTTATTTGTGTTACAATGTGTAATTACAATTTTGATTTGCTAGGTACAAAGATAGCCACTATCATGCCGAGGCATGATATTAGAGAATCCCTGGTGTTTGCCATGCTGTTTGCTCTAGCTGGCGCTCAATTGAACTGGTGCTCCCACAAGGTACTAAGTGGTCCCAGATTTTTTTTAATAGTGTGCACACCCAGGTTAAGACCCATTCTATGCTGACCAGGCATCTTAGGCCAATAGTGCCAAATTTGGAGGCAGGAAAAACAAAACGTAGATCTACGTTTGGAGTGTGCAGCCAGCAGTAACAGCCTGGTTGATCAGGCTGATCCACCATGAGGCCTGGTCACAGACTGGGCCACGGGGGCATTGACCCCCGGAACTCTCTCCAGGTAAACTCCAGGCAAACTAATGTAATATGTGGAGTGTAAAACACAGTTCAAGAAAAGAAACCAACACTCACAGGAATTGAAAACATCTTATCTTCTTCTTGTGGCTCCGGGGGGGGGGGGGGGGGGGGCGACTGCCCGAGGTTCTTCATGTCACAAGTGTACTTTTTCCTGCTGGGAGAAAAAATCCAGATTTACTGAAACTAGCAAAATACCTTATCTATTATCTATCTATTAACCCTTTGACTGTCGCAAGCCCCTTTCTGAAACTGTCATTCTATGTTGCAAAATTTTTTTTGAAAAAAAAAAATTGTTTTTTCTTATGAAATGATAGAGAATCTTTTCCCCAATTTAATGACACCAAAAGTACCGAAATTTGGTTGAAAACTCACAGGAGTTACGCTCCTGCAAAGTTAGCAGTTTTGGCGACATATACGCATCGGCGATTTCGCTGACTGAGCCTGTTTTTGACAATTCCGTTTGTTTCCAGTTTGACCAAACTCACTATTTCTTTAAAATCATTTTTCTATCAGTTGAGTACAGGAAAACCAGCCCATTTACCAATTTAACTACCAATAAAGTGGTCAGAAATTGCAATCTGCAATTTCACACAAATTAAAAAGATGGCCAATTTCAAAATAGGTTCGAGAATAAACAATGTAGACATACCTTGGCACTAAAATAACATATCCTCTGTTCATAAGTCACGTCTCTAGGCCCCCTTATGTTACTATTGCTTTTTATTTTATTTTTATTCATACAAAAATACAAAATTACTGTTATGCAAGAACTACTGCATTATTGTAAAAAAGGTATAAATAATATCAGTGCACTAGTGAAAGAATATTAGACTCCAGTTGATGTGTATCGGATCGGTGTGGTGTGATTTTACTACTCCTGAACATTGGTAAAAATCGAAATTTCCGAGACCAGGGTTTGTTGAGCTCACTTTCAAGGTCGTTTTCATTGTGGAGGACTAATCAAAATCATCTCTATTTCTGTAACATGTTTTTCCGTATTTTATTACGCGAGACCATGAAAACGAGAATACAATGATAAATACTATATGAAAATACATCCGCATTGTCGGTGTTTTAAACCAAAAAACAAACGGTCAGTTTTCTTTTCTCATTATCACTGTGTGCCTGCAGGATTTTTTTTATGTGGTGCACACTGACCCCCACAGCCCCATTCTCTCACAAGTGGGCCTACCAGCTTTCTCCTGCTTGATTTGAAGCCGCAAGAATTTATGCATATTAATACGTCCAAAACACTGGCTCGTAAGACATATATATACGACCAAAACAGTCAAAGGGTTAATGATTCTGGGATGACAACTCCCAGTGACCTGGTCTCAGACCAGGCCTCCTAAACTGTTAAAAGAAATATCATAGGTACTGTGATGCTGGTGAAAGTTTATCTTAGAAAACAGAACTACTCTCCTCTCTATTAAATCAAACCTAATTACCCTCTATTACTTATCACTATATGGCCCTTGTGTGTTTAGGGCTTCCTCACGAATACAATAACAATAATAATAATAATAATAAACATGAATATATCAGCAATGCTTGTCATACGCAGAAGAAAGACTACAACTTACTTGCAAGACTGAGGCTTTCCGTTTACCACCTTTGTACAATATAGCTTGCTCTTCAGTTTTGATATCTCGAGTAGGACAAGCACACACTCTTACGTTGATAACCTTCCTTCCACATTCTTTTTCAGAGCTGAAAAAAACAAAATGTTAAAAGTTCTACAATATTTGACTAAGAAAACCTATATTTACAGGACTCATGAAATTGTCCAGAGGGCTGAGGAAGGGTTGTTGAGGTGGTTCGGACATGTAGAGAGAATGGAGCGAAACAGAATGACTTCAAGAGTGTATCAGTCTGTAGTGGAAGGAAGGCGGGGTAGGGGTCGGCCTAGGAAGGGTTGGAGGAGGGTTAAAGAGTTTTGTGTGCGAAGGCTTGGATACCCAGCAGCATGCGTGAGCGTTGTTTGATTATGTAAAATAAGAGGACAAACTGGGTCTGCAACTTGACGCACCCTGTTCAGTGTACAAAGTAACAATATAAATGGTGGATTCGAAATGGCACGTCCACATGAGTCTAGATACATTTACAAGTCACTCACACCCCTACCTCACGGGTGTTATGTTGTGTTTAAAAACTGTAGTAATAAAGCCCATTCTCAAAGAACCAAAGTGATTATGAACAATGCATGAAAGCTCTCCTTTTCAGGGACCCTAAACCTTGGTCAATATACAGAACATGTCAATATAAAAAAAAAAATAAAAAGTTCTAATATTAACCCTGAACTAAAACACTGTCTTGATAGTTGTGACAGGATCCATAGACACAATACCAGACACAATAATCTCTATGACAGTCCCCGTGTCCAGCTAAATCTCTACAAAAAAAGTCAACGTACATAAAAGAGCCTAAAATCTGGAACTCCCTGTCTGAAAACTCTAGAACTGCAGACTCAACCACCATTTTCAAAACTACTGTTAAAAAATATCTTATCTCCCTAACACAGCCCATCACTGGCTAACTATATGAAAACCACCTATTCTCTCTTTTTTTTTTTATCATGAACACATCCAAAACAAAATAGATTTACTCTCGATATCTGTGATTCCCCCTAATTTACACTAACACTCACCCAAATGACTGTAAACATAAAATTCCTAATGCAGCTACTGCCTAATAAATCTTAATTTAGTCGTAAGTTTACCTAAGTCTCCCAATTTAAGAGCTTTAATAGAAACAGTGTATCATGCCAAGACTTAACCATTCCCATTACTTAATTTACTAACTGTAATACTGTTATATGTTTTGTACTACCTCATTATTATAAATCTAATCAATCACTTCAGTTACCTAGTATGCAATAAGGTATATTAAAATGTACTGCTCTATAACCTGTGTCAATATAGAGTAAGAATTAGTATTAGTCTGCCTGAAATGCCTAGGCATGCTAGAGGCCTTCTTTGTAATTAATATTTTATAATATGTAAACCACATATTGTAAACTTTGCAAGGAAATCAACATTTTCATTTTCAGTGCTATAAACAAAAAGAAGCTGCATGTCCTGACTTTAATTGAAACAAAGCTGAAGGAGTTAAAGAGATTGTGGGGAGAAATGAATGAAATTAGTTCATGAAAACCTGAGAGTTTCAGCTAAGGAAGGAGTAGTAATAATGTTGAAAGATCAGTAATGGCAAAGGAAAATAAATGTAAAAAATTCAAGAATTATGTGGATTAAAATAAGGGTCAAATGTAAAAGAGGGTCATACTAAGTGTTTATGCACCTGGAGAACAAAGTAGTGTAGAGGAGATATATATATTTTGGGAGATGTTAAGCGAGTATTTAGGGAGTTCTGAACCAAGTAAGAGAGTAATTGTAGTCGAGGAGCAACTCTTATAGAGGACGTAGTAGATAAGTTTGGGGTGTCAAGGAGTAAATGATAATGGAAGGCCTTTAATTGAATATTGTATGGAAAGAGGCTTGGTAATAATACATATTTTAAGAAAAAGAGGATAAGTATATCAGATATGATATAGGGCGAATTGACGGAAGTGTGATGGACTATGTACTTGTGGATAAAAGGTTGATGGGTAAACTTCAGGATGTACATGCTTTTAGAGGGGTAACAGATATATCATATCTTTATTCAGTTATAGCTATAGTGATATTAAGAGGTAGTTTGGGTATAAGGAGAATGGCATCAGCAAGTAAAAGGTGAACGTTCATCACATCTATCATGTCTGAAAACTTTTTAAAATTTCAAGTGTATTTTATATGTATTCTGTTAATTATGCTTATGTGTACCTGTATATAAATATACTTACACACTGTGCTGGCATGCAGGTACACATTAAAATCACTAAGAGTCTCTCTACTCATGAAGCCATAGTAATACTACGTAACAATAATCTCTCTTGGGCACATTAAATGTCTTATTTTACGTTAATATAGACATTTTTCATTAATCCATCTACGATATTTTCTTCAAAATTATATAAGAAACATGTTACATAGCATATAAACATTATACATACACCCACAGAATAAAAATTGACATAAATATGAGATTTGTTTACAAAGCGGCTCTGTAGGAGTGTCCAAAGAATTACGTTTTCTCTAGTCAAACACTGGGGGATAACTGTAGATAAATATTCCTTTCGTATGCCTTCACTCTATATATAGCAATTCATGACCCTTGTGGGTTTAGTACTTCTTTTTATTATGATTATAATAATAATTTGCAATAATAATTTGTAATAATAATTTGTGATAATTTGTAATAATAATAATAATTTGTCAGAGCATCATTCCTTCTAAAAATTACATGAGAACGGAAGTATTGGTCTTTATTTATTCTACTGTACCACTGTGGAGACAATTTGTATACAATGTAAGGTGTCTGTTTCTTTATATAGTGGGTAGGGTGGCCAGACAGGCTTCTCTACACTTTTCCCTGACTTTTTTGGGTTCTCCTAGGTTCTTTACACATATGCTGCTATGTATGATAATTCTATGTAACTGTATTTGTGTATACCTGAATAAACTTACTTAATTACACTACCCTACCTACCACACGACTTTCTACAAATATGTAAATACTTTTCACCTTTCACCCTACATTAAGACTACAAATATTTTAAGGTAAGTAATGGGTGTACTGTATATGCATTTTATCACTCTATGGAGCTTTAAGCATCATCGTAGTATATTATGTGTGGGTGGAGGTGGCCAGGAGGGCTGCCACACCTAACTTCTTATAGTAAATGCTACTCACCTTTTGCCCTACATTAAGACTACGAATATTTTGAGGTAAATAATGAGTGTACTGTGGTGTGTGTGTATTCTTTTTATTGTTTTTTAATGCCTAGTTCTATTGCTAACTTAATATATGTTAGTGTAAACTTGTTATTTGGCATTCATATGCATTTGTAAGTGGAAAAAATGGCATTCTGCTTTCCAGCAGTAGCCTGGAACCTAACCTGCCGTATAAGTGGGGCCCTACTGTACACTGTTTCAGCGTGAACAGTGGTGGTAGCAGAGCCACCACCACTATATGTACAGCTTATGCTGTC